CGACTTCGATCGTCTGATTAGTTTTCATTTTATTTATTTTTTTCTCCTTCTTCGTCTCTCTTCTTTGCTGATCATTTGTTCTGCTCTGTTTTTTTTTTTTCTCAATTATTTATGCCTTTGAGTCTCTGTTAAAACAAAAAAAAAATAAATTCAAAATAAATAAATACAAAATATTTATGTCTTTGTCAATTAAATATTTTAACAAAATAAATATTTTTTTAAATAAATACAAAAAAATATATAAAATAAATATTTTTTTTTCTATTACACAATTAATTAATACACTATGCATTACACAATTGTATTAATTAATTTTCCATTACATTACACAATTAATTAATACACTATGCATTACACAATTGTATTAATTAATTTTCCATTACATTACACAATTAATTAATACACTATGCATTACACAATTGTATTAATTAATTTTCCATTACATTACACAATTAATTAATACACTATGCATTACACAATTGTATTAATTAATTTTCCATTACATTACACAATTAATTAATACACTATGCATTACACAATTGCATTACATTGTATTAATTAATTTTTCATTACATTACACAATTAATCACACTTATGAATGTGGATTATTTTATCTTTGAAAATTGAAATGTTATGTAATATGCACTTTCATAGTTTTGAAAATTATTTTATATTTTGTCTTGAATCTTGATTACTTTTTATTTTAAAAAAAATTGTCTTAGTAATATGAATGATTAGTCTATGTTAATTTTTCTATTTTTTACTAAGACTGTGTGCCTTACTTCAATAAAGCCCGCGCCTCGCCTCGCCTCGCGCCTTGCGCCTAGGCCCCGAGAGACCTTCAGCGCCTTAGTGCGCCTTGAGCCTTTAAAAACACTGATTCCTACATTCCTCAAATTGACGAAACTTTCAAAAACCAAAGCCGTTAGCTGTTGTTCTCCTTCAGGAATGGAAATGTGATCAATAGTAGCAAAAGTAGAATAAGATGGGTTGTATCTAAGAAGAATATGCACAGCACGACTTTGCCTTTCGAGATTCTCTGGGCCAGTATACTCGAGAGTAGTCTTGACTTGGGCCAAGATGGCTTCGTCCTCTGAAGTGATCGGCTTCTTCAGATCGTTACCTGCAAGGAAGCAAAGTTGTTTATACATTTAAGAGCCGAATAGAATTGAAAGTGACTGTTGAATTACTTAGCCACCTGGTTTCCCTTTTTGCCTAGGAATCGAGTTCGAACGGTCTCCCTCTGCGCCGAATTCGCAATTTCCACTCACTAGGACCATGACATCATCCACGCTCTTGCCTGAGCAGGCAAGCATGGTCACTAGCTAACGATTAGTGTCCTTGGACCTAAGGAAGAATCGTCCTAGTCGCCTATATGATTTGGCAAGGGCGTAGTAGTGCCGAATAGCAGGGATACCCAGATTAATTCGCAATCGGCGGTTGAGTGTCGCCTTCAACAATGGCTAGCAACAGAAACACTATGGTGTCAGTGTCCGTCCTCTCTATATCCACCACTGTGTCAGCAACGAGCTTTATTTGAACATCGTCGGGAATAGAATAATGGCGGTGAAAAACGGCAACTTTACTCTCAGAGAGCAAGGCTTTTAGATAGTTTGCCATGAAAATGTTGAAGGATGGACAGATCGAAGGCAAAAAGGTGGACCGGTGGTAGAGCAAAGTTGAAAATTCAAAAAAAAAAAAAAACAAGAAAGATGAAAAGGGGGGTTCAGAAGATTTACAAGATCAAAACGAGGAATGTCTAAGCAATGAGGGCTGCCACAATTGTAATTAAGTGGTAGAAATTGAAGGGGTGAAGGAATGAAGCCTTTTCGGAAGTAAAGGGGCACAGGCGGCGGATTTTTTGAATAGCAATAAATAAAGAGCTAGGAGACAAACATGGGATGAGAAGATTTACGTATCCCCCATTAGGTCCCATCCATTATGTTAGGTGTGATAGTGTGTCTACTACGCGCTCGCATTTCTAGGTACAAATTATGATTAGTGCAATACATCTGTACGAAGTCAGCCTAGCAGGAGCCGAGCATGAAGCCCACTCGGCATATGAGTTGATCCGGTGCTCGGGGGGCAATTGTGGGGGCCGAGAAGATGATTACCAAGAATGGCAAAAAGAGTACATCCAAGCCCATTTGAGATGGGCCGAATAAAACCCAAGCCCATCAGACGTTGGGCCATTGTCGAATATACACAACAATATGGAGAGTATGTCGAGTATAGGGTACCTGAGCCATAAGGTTGAGCCGAGTGTATCGGGAAAGTCAGCTTCACCAGGTCAGACGAATTCGGATTGTCCTTTCTTAATAAAATCTTTTAATAAAAATATAATAGGGAGATGGCCCTGACAGAGTAATGATGGAGGGCTAGGCTACATAGAGAAAATATCAAGAAGAATAATGATATAAAAGGAGAAGGGAAGCCCAAGAAGGAGGTGTGTGCTAAGAACCTTGAACTTCAAGAAATCAAAAAAAACACCAATGTTTCTACAGAGACTAACTTGTCCATCGCTAATTCCGGCACCAGCGTCCGGAGTTTTATCTCTATTTCAGGTGACAGCTGAGAGGATTATCCAAAGGCTTTGAATTGAAGGAGTATTTCATATCTACCTCCACACATAAAATTATATGTTATATTAAATTAAACGAATCTTATGATTCATGATTCACTATTTTAGCAAAATGATTCACGATTTGATTCGCGATTTGACAACTATAATTTTTTAATGATTTCTTGGGGATAGTTTGGATAGGATGGTGTGGGACATGAAGAAGCCAATGGGTTTGGGTCATTGGCATCGAGATTCAAGAGTGGGGGAAGGATTTCTTTGGTAGGGTGAAGTTAGGAGGGGGTTCGTGGTCCATACCCACCCCACCCTGCCCCCATTGTCATCCTTACTGGAGATGGATAATTTGAGGAGGGGGCAAGTTTTTGCTTGAATGGTGCTACATTTGTAGAGACATTTGAATAAATTTTTTATGTATACATGTCTTATTACAATGCTCAATTGCTCGGGAGGTGTGTATTATGATATTTATGAAGTTTTGGGGTGGCATTGATGATGCCTTGATCAATTGAGGAGCAGTTTTCTTCGTGGTACAAGGAATGGGATGCCCTGAGGGTAGATTGTGGAAGGCTTGGGAAACTCCTCCTCATTGCATGTGTGTTGAGAGGAATCTGAGATCAAAATTTAGAGAGTTACAGTTTTAAAGTCTTCTTTTTATTTTTGGCTTGGAAAGACTTTCCTTTACTTTGTTTTTTTTTTGTATACAGGGTTGTGCCCCCTTTGCTGGCACTTTTTCTAATGAAACTATTACTTATCAAAAGAGATGTCACCATTGATGGGGCGATGTGTTAAAAGATAGATCTAGTACATTGCTAGGTTGTAATGCGTTGCCTTATCACCAAAGAGGAAAAAAATTACACGGGTAGGGAGATTGTTAAACCAAAAAGATTAAGAAGCACAATAGATATTGAACCTTATTATTGAATTTGAAGAAATGGTGACGGACCCTTTAATGGTCTACATTCTTGGAACCTAGATAATTGAATAGGGATTGTAGTCTTCTTACTTATTGTTTAAATTGGTTCTTATTTTTGAACAACCTTACTTCATTTGTATATTGGTCTGTTCAAATCTTGTGAATTAAAGAAATTTATACTGATTGAGATATTTTTCAAAATTCAAACTAGCATGGTGTGACAATAGATGCAACGGTAAGGAAGAGAGATCACTATAAATGGAAATGATAGAGGGGAGGGGAGGGGAAGACAGACCTATACTAACGTGAGCTGTAATAAATAAAAAAATAGTTTGAATTTATTTAACTGAAAGAGCATATGGTCTTTGACAAAGTGGAATGACATAAAATGATTTATGTAGCCAACCCCAATTGCATAGGACAACAGGCTTGGTTTGGTTGAGTGTTGAAAAAATTGTGTTATAGTTGATATATGATGAAGCTGAAAGCTGAGATTACATTCTTGTCATGCCAATTAATTTCCATGTATCCATCTACTATTCATCTTGGAAATGACACAGTCCCTAGAGATTCATGCAAATTCTTGTTTAATTCCTGTATATTGATTCAAAATTTAATAGCAACCTGTTTGCTCAAGTAGTCAAATTCCACCCGCTTGCCATCTAGTAATGCTTTGCCATACTTATAGCTTGCATATGGTGGGCCTCCAATCAAAATCAGTTGTTACTTTTCATATTGATGCTTTGAAGTTTGACAACAAAATATCAGCTGTCTTCACTTCTGAAATTTAGAAATTATGCAAGCTGGTTGCGCATTGTGTCAGCTAACAATTTTTTATTGTAATATTTGTTCTTAAATCAGAAAGAAAACCTGAGAACAGTTGTAGGCAACATTTTCAAGGATGGATTTGACCAGTCAATTGGATCAAGATCATTATTATTATTACTATTATTCAACTTTTTGAATCAAAGGCCTTTTGATCTGTTATCAGAAACCAACCCTTGGCATCTGAATTTTGAGAACATACATGTAGCATGTGACCGATCAAATTATAATATTTTTAAGTTCTTCAATTTTTTTTATTATTGTGGCACTTGAGTATCATCACTTTTTTTGGTGCCAAACACTCGTAGTTGCACCAATTGTTGGATAGCTCAACGCTTTAATCATCTACATTGTTTGATGAAGGGCCATGTTAAACATGTGTATGCTTGTTATTTGGTGATTTGTTGGATTTGATTTTGAGGAGTCCATCTAATAGAGAAAGTTGTGGAGCTGTCTCACTAACTATAACGTAAAGAAATGATATATATCCATGAATTTTTTGCCCTTTGTAATTCTTGGGCTGAATGGTGCTGAGATTTTTTTTCTCTCTCTCTTTGTTTTTAAAAGGGTACTGACAAGTTACATTTGTGATATGGACAGAAAACTGAATAAAACTATTAAGGTTTTTCTTCTCATATTTAATTTTCTGCTGCTGATGGTATTTACATGTCTTTTGTGAAGGGCGATGAGGTCTCATTGCAGAGGGCACTGCATTTGGTCCACAAGAATAATCATGATTATGTTGCTGTGCTCTTCTATGCTTCTTGGTGTCCTTTCTCTGGAGCTTTTAGACCCACTTTCTCCATCCTATCAACCTTGTATCCCTCCATCCCTCATTTTGCAATTGAAGAATCAGTCATCAGGCCAAGGTTTGGGAACTAATATCATTCTTTTTGGATTTTTGTTTTGTGTATATTATGTCTTGACACTTGGGAACAACAATTTTTTTTTTTGAAAGTCACTTGGGAATAACGTTGTTCAATTTTTATCAGTACTCTGTCAAAATATGGAGTTCATGGGTTTCCTAGTCTTTTCCTTCTAAATTCTACCATGCGTGTATGCTATCATGGCTCTCGGACCCTTGGTTCTCTTGTTTCTTTCTACGATGATGTTACTGGTAAGGCCTTACCCTGGTACTTTTCTGGTCATTGTTTAAAGGAAACTCACTTGAAGATCTTACATTTTTTTCTGAAGATGTTGATTTCATTTATCCATAAGAACTTGTAGTATATTGTTCTTTGCATTATTTGTATCAAATTACTGAAGAAATTTCTCAAGCGATATCTAATGAAAACAAGGTCACTTTTTTAGGCATTAAGACTGAGCCATTGAATGGAACATACTTGGAAAGAATCGGACAGTCATCTGATGATGGAAAAAACAACCACCCCGAGCAGGAAAGTTGCCCATTCTCATGGGCTAGATCTCCAGAGAATTTGCTTCAGCAGGGGACATATTTGGCCTTGGCCACTGCATTCGTGCTTTTGAGGTTGCTCTATTTCCTTTTACCAACTCTGTCTGCATGTACTCGATTGGTTTGGAGACTGTACATCCCGAATATGAAGTTAAAGAGCTTGTGGGAACATCCTCCGGCCTATCTGAATCAAGCAATCCAGTTATTCAATTCCCTAAAGGAGCCCCGCAAGAGAAGTAATTTGCAAGAGGGAGCGATGAATGCTAAGGCATGGGCTTCAAAGTCCTTAGCTTCGGTTTCATTTGGGGATGCAAACACCAGCAGGGTTGTGCCAGTAAGTTGATCTCACTTCACTTTTTCCGGCAAAATTAGGCTTTCAGATTCTCCTTTGCTGCAGAATCTTTTCTGTGTCCGTCTGCAACAAATTCATGATTTGATTTGGTTTTCCATTTGGGGCTCAATGTTTCATGGTAAGGTGGAAAATTTTACATTGGTTGGTTGTTGTAGCAACCGCCATTTCTATGTAATTTAGAATAGAATTTGTTATCACCATCCAAAAAATAAGAAATGGCTTTAATTTTGTGAATAGCTTGTAAGCTATATAGCCTTTACGGGCTGGTTTGGACCCCCTCTTGTCATTCCAGATAAGTTTGTCATTTATATATCTCATCTTTGTATGGTATTAATATTTCTTGATAACTAATTTTAAGCAACGTGTTAAACAGCAGTTTAGAAAAATTAATTAGTGTATGACTTTTTCTTTTCTTTTCTTTTCTTCCGGCGGCTCTTAGAACTTTACTTGTGTTTGTGTATATACTTGAAAGATGTTTAAAAGCTGGTTAAACGGGGAATTTGATCTGAACTGGTTGAAATCGGGTAATTTGGTTCTAGTTTTAAAAAATTTAGAATCATTGGATATGGTTTCGTTAGTAGATTAATGCTCAAAAGAATTGAACAAAACAAACTGAATTTTTTGATATTTTCGTTAATTTTAGTATTTGGACGTATACGATCTTCCATGTGTACTTTTTTTGTCGTCATTAACTTCTTTAAATCTTTATCTCATTCCACAACGGGACTCCATTTTCCCATTCATGTGAAATGGGACGATTGTTGACAAATTGTATAACTTTTAACATACGCCAACAGAAAAATGAATTTGAATCAATTGCTAGTGGTCATAAAATTCAACTTAAAATTCAAAATATTAAGTAAAATTTCTCATTGTTCTTTATTTATATGTATATACGTCCAACTCATGTTTCCTTTTTTTTTTCCCTTCTATAATTAGTTATTTAGTAAAAATCAATGTTCTAATATTGCATTTATTAATATCTAAAAAATAATATAAATTGAGAAGTTGTGGCGTGGAAATAGATGCTTTTCAAAAGGGTTGTTCTCTCATTCATTGGATTAGAAAAGAAGGTAAAATAAAAGGAGGTGATCGTGATTTGCGGGGGACCAATGGCAACTTTTTCTGCGTGATTGGAGAGTGAATTGGAACCTTAATATCCATCCAATTCTACTTATACTGTGTTTTGATTGAGAAATTTAAGAAGGAATTTGAAAAAAAAAAAATAAAAAAGTAAGTTAATATGAATAAAATATATCTATATTTTACATAATTTTACACATTTAAAATTTTCTTTTTAATTTTTTTTTTAAATCTTTCAATTAAATACAGCATTATACGTCTATCCACGAATCCCACCCAATCATTCATTTTTGCATCATCCTGTTTGACCTCATCATGATGATGATGAAGAACTATATGGGTCATAAGTGGAATAGAAACTCCTATAATAGCATTGTGCCTCCGTTTGGGAAGCGGATTAGTTTTTTAATTTTTTTTATTATTTTAATTTGGGACTAAAACGTCTGGTTTAGAAAAGATTTTTTGATTTTTTGGTGAGCTGTCTTCCTATTAAATTACCAAACCGCCCTTCATGTTCAACTTTTATGTGTGAGGCAATGAAAGTGGTCCTCCACGTCAGCCTCCGTTTAGATTGAATTTGGATATTTTTTAATTTTTTTATTTTGGGTTTGGATTTGGCGGATTTTTTAAGAAATTTATGTTTTTGTCATTTTTTTTAAGAAATTTATGTTTTTGTCATTTTATTTTTTTATACATTAATTAGTTCTTGTTATTTAATTTACGTTTTTTCCCTCATTTATTTTTATTGGTATACAATAACTTCATTTATTTTTCAAAAATAAGTTTTCACGTGTTTTATTTATTTGTAAATTACGTGACGAATAATAATTTAAGTTTTTATGTTTTTTTTAAATGTTTTTGAATGAGGCGTATTTTTGTCCTTATTTTTTTTAATTTACATTTTTGTCATTTTTTTATTTGTACACATTAATTTTTTTTATATTTCAAAAATGGGTTTTCATGTGTTTTATTTATTTGTAAATTACGTGGCAAATGCTAATTTCTGATTGGAGAGTGAATTGGAACCTTAATATCCATCCAATTCTACTTATACTGTGTTTTGATTGAGAAATTTAAGAAGGAATTTGAAAAAAAAAAATGAAAAAGTAAGTTAATATAAATAAAATATATCTATATTTTACATAATTTTACACGTTTTATTTTTTCTTTTTAATTTTTTTTTTAAATCTTTCAATTAAATACAGCATTATACGTCTATCCATGAATCCCACCCAATCATTCATTTTTGCATCGTCCTGTTTGACCTCATCATGATGATGATGAAGAACTATATGGGTCATAAGTGGAATAGAAACTCCTATAATAACATTGTGCCTCCGTATAGGAAGCGGATTGATTTTTTGACTTTTTTTTTAACTATTTTAATTTGAGGTTAAAACGTCTGGTTTGGAAAAGATTTTTTAACTTTTTGGTGAGGTGTCTTCCTGTTAAATTACCAAACCGCCCTTCATGTTCAACTTTTGCGTGTGAGGCAATGAAAGTGGTCCTCCACGTCAGCCTCCGTTTAGACTGAATTTGGATATTTTTTTTTTTAAATGTTTTTGAATGAGGCGTATTTTTGTCCTTATTTTTTTTAATTTACATTTTTGTCATTTTTTTATTTGTACACATTAATTTTTTTTATATTTCAAAAATGGGTTTTCATGTGTTTTATTTATTTGTAAATTACGTGGCAAATGCTAATTTCTGTTTTTATGTTTTAATTTTTTTTTTTGTTTGGATGAGCCGTATTTTGGTCGTTCTTTTTTTTTAATTTATGTTTTTGTCATTTTGTTTTTTTTGTATACATTAATTTGTATTTATATTTCAAAAATGAGCTTTCATGTGTTTCATGTATTTGTAAATTACGTGGCAAATGCTCATTTCTATTTTCTAAAATTTATTTTCCATTTTTTGGATGAGCCGTATTTTTGTTGTTCCTTTTTTTAAATTTATGGTTTTGTCAATTTTTTTTTTGTATACTTTAATTTGTATTTATATTTCAAAAATGGGGTTTCATGTGTTTTATTTATTTATAAATTACGTGGCAAATGCTCATTTCTATTTTTTAAAATTTATTTTCCATTTTTTGTATGAGCCGTATTTTTGTCATTCTTTTTTTTAAATTTACGGTTTTGTCAAAAAAATTTTGTATACATTAATTTCGTAAATGTTCTTTTTTTTTTTACGTGGCAAATGTAAAAAAAGATTTTTGGTAAATTTTTTTTGTATACATTAATTTTTAACTTTATTTTTTTACGTGGCTCAGTTCAGGATTTTGTATACATTACGTGGCAAATGTTCTTTTTGTTTTTTCGAGGGTGTGATAGTGTGAACAAAGACCCAGGGGTAATTTGGTAATTTCACCCCTCTTCGTATGGTAGATACAATCCTGAAGCGTTTTTGTCGCGTTGTGGCTAATTTAGCCAATTTCGTCCTGTAGTGGCTAAATTTAGCCCCCAACTCTCTTGTCAAAGGGGAAGAATTATGCCATTTATTGTATAATTTTAGACATTAAAAAATAAATTGGAAGTGTAAGTGTAAATAAGTGAAGTGAGATCTCTTTTTTATATATCTTTAATCTTTGTATTAACAAATAATGAAGAAAAAGGTTAGATGATTATGATGGTAGATTTATTTTTAAATCTCCTTTCTTGTTTTCTGACACTTTTTTTTTTTTTATTATTAAAAAAAAAACAATTTCTTTATGCTATAAAAGAAATAAAGTAATGTTATACAAATAAACAATTCTTAAAAAAACACTTTTAATAACAAATGTAACACTAATCATATCATTATAGTGGGTCTCAAGTTTACATATCAAAATTTTATTACTTTATGCCATAACAATGAGTAAGAAAAATTTATTAAATTTGATAGTTTGTATAACATTTGCTTTTATTTAAATTATTTTTATCTCATAAAATATTAGTAAAAGTAGCACTCGATACTTTTTTTATATAACTCCCAAATTTTGAAAGAAAATTTAAAATCAACATCTCATAAGTTGACCATAAACTAGTTTCAAATTTATTTTATTATTCTTTCTTTCTTGATTATGTAAAGCTAGTTAGAACTTAGCTTATTTCTACTAGATCCTGCTATTTTAATTGTGTTAATGCCTTATTTTGGAACACTATAATGTCAAAATATCATATTTTGATAGATTCGCTCGAGGAGTACATATGCTATTTTTTTTTACAATAATTCAATTTTTACAAGATATGATTAAATGTACCTAATTAACATATTTAATATTTTCTAAAGGAATGTCTTCAAATTTTCTTTTAAATTAAAAATTATTTTAATATGGTGATTAATATATTTTTTTTCATATTTTCTTTTGAATTAACTTATTAATTTTAGTGAATTTATGTAAAAAAATACATGTTTTTTTAAGGCAATATACAAATCTAAAGAAGTAAATAGACAATAGTCACATATGTACCGTATTAAAATTCAACATGCTACTCCTCGACACAATTGATAGAATTGTTTGAATTTAACATATATCGTAAATTGCTAAAGTGTGTATTTAGTTTCTATGGTATTAAATTTTGACAATAACATGATTAAATAATAACCGTTGAAATCCCTCTTACCTTGTTAGATTTTAGATCTGGTACGTGTGTATGATAGGAAAGTTGGTTAAAAAATATTTTTTGAGTAACAAAATGATAAGTATAATATATTTGTGATAAATATCATAACTAATAAAATTTTAAAAAATGCTTAGTCCATTGAAATATAGCTAGTCTGGTTCTGTCCGAATGTCATGGTCGAACGATGAATGTCACCTTTGTCAATTGTAATTGCTATATTTATTAATCGTAGTGGTCACTCTTATCATGCCGTGTGTCAATCGATATATGTTCGAATGATTGACATCTTTCTGAATAATCAATCAAACGATTGATATACATAAATTCAGACAATTGAAACGTGTCAAAATTTGATAAAAAGTAACATTGTTGATACATTTGGATTTTGGATTGACGCATAAAATTGGAAAAGTCAAAAAGAAAACAACCGTTTTGTTTGTTTTTTTTTTTGTTTTTAAGATAGAACCGTTTTGTTTGGTTGGGAATGGAAGATGTGAAAAAGTATTTGACAAAAAAAATATACTTCTTGAAAATAAACATTCAACTATTTTCATTTTGAAAGTGTTCACGCGTCACAAGATTAATTTCCAACCGTCGATCGTAACCCCACTCATCCCAAAAACCTCCAATCTAACGGCCTATTCATCTACTTCACCCCCCTTCCCTGCCTCAAACCAGTTACCAAGCCCTCAGATCAAACACACCCAAACAGAGTACTACTTTTCTAGAGAGAGAGAGAGAGCGAGAGGGATTGCAGCGATGGAGAAGGAGAGAGAGCAACAGGTTTACTCGGCCAGACTTGCAGAGCAAGCCGAGAGATACGATGGTATTGCTTTGTTTTTTTTTTTTTGTTTTTCAATCTCTGTCTATGTATGTATGTGTATATGATATGCCATTTGCCTTCCAAGTTATAGATTTTCATGTTTTCCCTATTTTTATCTACATCCCAAGTTTACAACCGTCAATATTAGTTCACTGCCTTGAGGTTGTGTTTGCTTTGGATTTTTTGAATGGGTTTTTATTAGTAGGTTGTTGTTGATTATCAGAAAAGTGATAGGGGAAATTACATGTCAGAGCTATTTTCAAAACTTTTAATTGCAAATTTATGGAAAAGTTTATACTTTTACTTTTTAATATTTGTAAAGTTTATCACTAATCTAAAAATATTTTTTCAAATATACACTAATGTGAAATTACCCCCAAAATTTAATCACTTTGATGAAGAATTTTGCTTAGTTTATATTAATACAAACTAACAATTAGTTTTTTTTTTTAGATGGTGGGCAAATTGATGTATTTGTGGAAAACTAGTTTAAACAATTAAATCATCTAATCTAGTAGTCTCATTAAAATCTAGGCAATCAACCTCGACGAGACACAAGATTTAATGCTGAAACCCTAAAAAATAGAAAATCACGATCCTAACACACAAAAGCAATCCACTATTGAATCAAACAGTTTCAAGACTTGAACGATAGGAATTACAGCCTCTTAACCAAATTTAGGTTCAACAAGTTTGATTTCTGCTCCAAAGCAGCCTTGGCATCATTAAACATCGTAGATCTAATAGCCTTCATGAATCTCCTTGCTTTGATCTCCATCTTCAATGGTCAGTGGTCACTAACATACTTAAAAGGATGTAATAATCATCTTTTAAAGGAAAAAGGACTACATGCTTATAAAAATGGCTAAATTTGAGCCGACAACGCTCGAGCTCCTGCAAGGGACTAAGCGAGCCTCTCAATAGTTGCAGGGCACAAGCACCCCATAGGCGCTCGATCCCCACTTAATTAGGATACAAGGCTTAGGATGATTTGGTTAGTTTATGTGGAATCCCTTAAATTAGATGATTCTTTGAATAATGTGATTTCAACATTTAGTTTAATTTTGGTGCGATTGTTTTCTTCAAATGTTTTCACTGTCTCTTATAATTAGCATCCTCGTCCAGAAGGAAAAACTGGATGCTTCAATCTAAGACCCCTTCTTTAGCACATAGGACATAAAAAAAAAAGGGTAAATTTTTTGGTTTACTTCATCTAAATTTTATGTTTGTATGTTTCTTCATAAATTATATGATTGCAGAGATGGTTGAAGCAATGAAGAAAGTTGCTAAAATGGATGTGGAACTCACTGTGGAGGAGAGGAATCTGGTTTCAGTTGGGTATAAGAATGTCATTGGGGCAAGAAGGGCTTCCTGGCGGATATTGTCTTCTATTGAACAGAAGGAGGAGGGCAAGGGGCATGAACAAAATGTGAAGAGGATAAAGGAATACCGACAGAGGGTTGAAGATGAACTTGCAAAGATATGCAATGACATATTGGCTGTCATTGATGAGCACCTCCTCCCATCATCCTCAACAGGAGAATCAACTGTTTTCTACCATAAGATGTGAGAGTCTTCCTTGTAAAATATTAGTCTACCCTTTCTCGTCTAGATTTCCATGATTTGAGGGACTAACAAATGAGTAACACTTGATTATGGATTGAGATACATAGAGAATACATCTGGTGTCTCTCAAACTATTAATTAATTCAGTCCTCTTTGGATGGAATGTTTGAAGAAGATAGCTGATCGCAAACAATTGGAATAAGAATTGGATGTTGATCGTGTGGATATAAATGTCAAAGTAACAAGCCTGTATGTCTTTGTAACAAATATGTGGTGCACAGTTTTGATCAACACTGCAAGTTGCTTGGCTTCCATTTTGCTATTCAATCGAATTAAATAATTTTATCTTAAATATTTGCAAATAATGCTTTAAATATTACTAGGTGAGGAGGAGCTTGCATTTATTGAGTTGAGTATACTGTGTTTGGTAGATTGAGTATGCATAGTTCTTTCATATATTTTGCCTGCTGAAGTTAATGTTGTTTGTGATCCCTTCTTTCTCACATTCCAGGAAAGGAGATTATTATCGTTATTTAGCTGAGTTTAAAGCTGGAAATGATCGTAAAGAGGTGGCAGATCAGGCACTGAAGGCTTACGAGGTTTTTGCCCTCCTACTTTCTTTGCCAGATAACCTTTTATGTCCGAGTGTTGCTTCTTTCTCCACTAATTTCTTTTATTTTCAGTGTGTTTGTCTTTTATTGGTTGTGTTTTGGCTCTCAGACTTAGAACATTAGTTGGATATGTTATGCTGCAGGCTGCCATTGGAACTGCTTCAACAGAGCTGACCCCTACTCATCCAATCAGACTTGGCTTGGCTCTGAACTTTTCTGTTTTTTACTATGAGATTATGAATTCCCCTGAGAGGTTGATCTCTCTCTCTCTCTCTCTCTCTCTCTCTCTCTCATTAAAGGTGATGCATTTATTAGGGTTTGTATGTGAAATGCTGTCTGTTTTGCACAGGGCTTGCCATCTGGCTAAACAAGCATTTGATGAGGCCATTGCTGAACTTGATAGCCTCAATGAAGATTCCTACAAGGACAGCACTCTTATAATGCAGCTTCTTAGAGATAACCTTACATTATGGACCTCAGATCTGCCGGAAGAGGGAGGTAACTGTTACAACTCTCTCTCCCCCTCCCTGTTACTTGGCTGGCTTAGATCAGTAGATGAAAGGACCCAATGCAAAAAAAAAAAAAAAAAAAAAAAAAAAGAGGAAAGACAGTAGAAAGTTGGATCCTCTGTTGATTTGATAAATTTATTTGCCAGCTTTTTTTGGCACTAGCGTGTTTATGCGGGTTGCAGTTTCTGTCTAGCTTAGGACAAACATGGCTAGATTAACATCATTCATGTTTCTCGTCGTGTTACTGTATTGCTCTAGAAAGTTTAAAGTTTATGAAGATCAAGGTTAATGTTCGAATATTATTAACCTAGTTATGTAGACAACTTAAGATGATCAAACCACAATGATCTGGCTTTTAGTAAGACCTGGTACTCTCTGTCATTTGTTTTAATTGCAAGATCTAACTGCAGCAGTTTCAATAAGAACATAATAATAATAAAACAGAAATCCACTTGTATCTATGTGATTGCGGTAAACATCAACCTAATTTATGGGCACCAAATTTTCAATGTCAAATGGGTATTAAGAAATCAACATTTGAACTCTGGTAGTGAACCCAAATGGAGTATCATATTTTGACCTCTGCTTTTACAAAAGCTTTTTCTTGGTTTGTGCTTTTGTTGCATTGCTTGGTAATGGTTTGCTTAGAATCCCGATTTCTACATTTAAACAGCTAACTGAGATTTTTCTTCTTTGTGCAAATGTGTCATCTAAATTGGCAGGTGAGCAGTCTAAAGGTGAAGAACCTACAGCGGAGGTAAGAAATATGAATGAAATCACTCTTTTTTAACGTATACTATTAAAGCCCGTGTTTCTAAACTCGTGGTAGGTGAGGTTGATGATGGCAACAACAGTTGCCTTCTGTGCCTCTTAGAAAGATTGGTTGTGTTTGATATATTCTTTATTTCTTTCTTACATCAACCACTTGTGTGTGAATTTTGCAGAAATAGTGGGTGGCGTTTAGGTGGTGGGCTTGTTGACGAGGGATGCAGAGTGGGAAAATTCTTATGTTATTACCATCACGGAACGATTAGGGAGTAATTGGCTTGTGTATTTTATGGCTTACATAATGTTTTTAAGGCTATCACTGATGTCTACTTTGATAAGTTTATTGCTATTGTGGTTGGTTGTGAACTCGACTCACTATTTTATTGTTTCTGAGCCTCTTTTCGAGTCTACTTTGTTCAGATCAGATGAGCTTCTTGTTTTAATTGCTTTAAAAATTTCCGTACTGTTTAGAATAATGCGGTTGAATGGACAATTATTGTGTTAGAGCAAAGTATCCACAAAAATGAATTTTAATTATAAAGTGTCACCTCCACATAATTCTAGCCAAATATTATATATATGCACATTTTAAATATATAATTTCCTAATGAGTACAGTCATTCACCCATCTGGGTTCTATATAAGTAATGGGATTTTTTTTTTTTCCTCCAAATCTAAAAATCAGAACATGTGAAAAATAAAAGGGAAGTTGCAATTTAGTTAAAAGACAAAAAAATTACAAATTAGCGGTAAAATTTTTCAATTTTAATAATTGAAGCGAAAATTTTGTAATTTTTTTTTTTTTTATCTTTCAACTGATTTGCAATTTTTTTCAAAAACAAAGAGAAAATTGCAATTCACTGATTTTTCTAAATAAAAAATTTCAAATCAATGATACACTTTATCAACTTTAATAATTAAAGTCATAAATTTGTTCATGAATTTGTAAATAATTTGTGAAAAAAACCATTGATTTGCAATTTTTTTAATAGTAAAAGCCTAACGATTGAGGTGATCCCTTACAAATCGTATGAGTCTCACAACTAGAAGATGCAAAATCATATACACCATCTCTTTCTCATTGGCATCCTAAACATCGGAGAGAGTTTTGTTACTATTATCTTGATAATCCACATTGCCATTGATTTCATGCTTCTTTTCTTGATTTTCTTTTCCTCGCCATTGCTACTACCTAGATGATCACCATCGCAGCCAATATCTCCTGGTACATCGCGAACTCTCCTTTCAAATTTTCTCTTCTTTTTCTTGGCCAGTAAATAAGGAGGTATTTGCAACATGGAGATTCGTTCCCACTCTTCAATGCTGCCGATATTGCAATCATCGCAATTCACACCCGCCATTGCTAAAGCTTCAAGCGAAACCGCCATAGGAGAAGATAGAATAAGAGGAGGAGAAGAAGATAGAATATGAAAACTAAAACATATAAACCTAGTACTTATAATACTTATATACAAACGTTGTTTAATAACTAGGATCTCTAGTATTCTAGTGGAGATAGGATTTACTTTCAAATTGAATTTGCTTCAACAAACCCAAGAGTCATTTAACTGTCTTTTTAATAATTCAAAAGCTTGATAGGAAAAGGGAATTAAAGTGTAGATGTAGGATCTAAGGAACTGAATTTTGCTATCACACGGCATCATACTTTTCTTTGCATGAGAGATCATTATCATAACTGTTTTCCATACCAAAACTATACAACAAACCTTTTGGGCCCTATTATATTATGCACTTTGGAGGAGAGATTGAGATTGATAGGGGTACGTGGGGATTGGTCCTTGGGAAGAAAAAGAATCATCAACTAATTCATTCTTGTAGGATTGAAAAAATTATGGGAAATTATTATTAAAAAAATAAATAAATTCAGGATTTGAGTCTTATAAAAAATAAACCTCAGTTTTTAATTTTATCAATTTCAACTTTAAATTTTTGATTTGTTTTTAATATAAATTATTTGTATATTTTTGTTAAGTAAAATCAATGAGAAAATACGTATTTCAGTTATTAAACTTAATGAAAATGTTATTTTAGACATTTTATGTATACCTATATTAAGTTTAATAAGTAAAATACTATTTTTTCGTCGGTTTTATTTAATTAAAATAGATGAATGATTTAGATTTAAAACAAATTAAAATATTAGAATTTAAATTGGCAAATTAAAACACAATATTATTTTGGCAGGTGGCGGAAACCTTGGAGTTTTATTTGTAATTGTTTAAAAATTTTGGAAATTTTACTTACAAATTTCATATTGAGGAATGGTGATCCAATTAGTTCCAAAAGTTTTCTTATAGGCCAATTAGTCCTATTTATTTTGGAAAGGTAAATTTAATATATTATTTAAAAATTAGATTTATAGTTATACCCTTATTTCTATTATGTTTTCTTTTCTTTTCTTTTCTTTTCTTTTTTTCTTTCATGTTAGAATGGTAAGATACACAACCTATGAGAATCAAAATTTAGGATCAATTTTTATATGGAAATCTTTTTTATTTTGAATGACTTGAAATGTAAGATTTTTCAAATATTTTAAAAGAAGTACAAAAATAACTTGAAATATGGAATTCTTTAAACATTCCAAAAGGAAGCGAGATTCTTCAAATATTTCAAAAGGAGTACAAAAACTCTTTAATAAGCTTTGAGTAAATATATAATTTCAATTTGTAACACTCAAACATAACACTCTAATGTAAGGATGCAACTTGAGCTGACTCAATCCGAGCAACCCGAACCCAGTTTGAATTTTTTTAGGGCTTGGATAAGGTATTTTTAAATTTGGTACGGGTTTGGGTAAAAATTCAAAAGCTTGAATTACATTTTGGACAGGTTTGAGCCAAGACGTTAAACAATCCGAAACCCGAATTATACATATATAGATATATAAAAATATTAAATATACATATAAATTATTAGTCTTTACATGATATTAAAGTAATTTAGATTATTAAATCATATTGAATATATATTATATATATAAATAACATAAAATCTTTCTCTTTTTATTTTATTTTATTTTCACTCATAAATTGTAAAGATTACTATAACATCTCTTTTACATTATATAAATTATTTATTTTGATGGTATTAATGATTTTCTATAATAAAAAAAATGTAAATGGAGTCAAATTTTAATAATTTAATAATGCAGCAATGCAGAAAAAAAAAAAAAAAAAAAAAAAACTAAAATTTATTTACAATTCGAGCAACTTAGGCAATTTGGGTTTAACTCGGGTCGAGCTTGGACAGGCAACCTCGGGTTATAATTCGGACCTAGGTATGTCTCAACACAACTTGGGCTGGAGTTTGACAACCTTCCAACCCAACCAAATCTGCCCGAGTTGCACCCCTACTCCAATGTAACACTCTAAAAAAAACTCCTTAGTATACTTTTTCCAAACATAGCACTCTAATGTAACTCAAAAAAAACTCTTTAGTTTAACACTCCAATGTAACACTCAAAAAAATTCCTTAGTATATTTTTTCCAAATGTAATACTCCAATGTAACACTCTAAAAAAAAGATATGAGATTATTCAAATTATTCTAAAATGAGTACAAAAATTCCTTAGTAAGTTTTGAATAAATGTGTAATTTCAAATTATGAGTGTTACGTTTAGAAAAAGTATATTAAGTAGTTTTTTAGTGTTTTTATGTGTGTTATAGAGTGTTACGTTTGAGATTATATTGATTGGAGTATTACATTTGAGAAAAGTACACTAGAGAGTTTTTTTATGTGTTACATTGGAGTATTACGTTTCAGGAAAGTTTGGGCTGTTACATTGTTACGTTTGAAAAAAATATACTAAGAAATTTTTTAGTGTATTACATTAAAGTGTTGTATTATTGGAGTGTTATATGGGATTTATTCTAGAATTAGAGAAAATCTAAAACCTCTATAGTGTGGATTACCCAAATGTATAATTTCACATTTAGATAAACCCATTTTTATCTCTAAAAAATTAAACTCAAACGTATAAGTGACTACCGTTTTGTGTAATTTTTACTTTAATGGGACCTTTAGATTCATAAGAAAAAAAGAAAAAGAAAAAGAAAAAGAAAAACTAAACCGTTTATAAGATCATATTATGAAATTTATTAGTGCTTTACTCAAAAAAATATTTATTTATTTTAAATTTTGACAACTTACAAATCAATCAAATGTATGATGCTATTTACAATAATATTTCATAAATAAATATACAAATCAATCAAATTAAGAAAAATGTGGGGGTGAAAATATGGATGTCACCTGATTAATGGTATTAGAATTTTTATTTTTTATTTTTTTAGGGATTATTTACACTTTGTCCTTTTATATTTGACCATTTTATCACTTTGACTTTAATTTTTTTTTCCCCTTCATGGTTTGAGTTTTTCCGATTTACTCCTAATATAAATTTTTATTAAAAATTAGATAGAAAATGACACATTGACAATCACATGATATAAAAATATTTTATTATATATAATTCATTGACACAAACTCAAACTCCAATATATTTTATGCCATGAAACTGCCAATATGCCATTTCTATATAATTTTTAATATAAGTTAGATTTAGGAATAAATTGAGAAAAAGTTGAAATATGAAGGGTCAAAGAAAAAAAAAAATTCAAAAATTAAAATGAGAAAGTAGCCAAATATAGACGGGGCAAAATATAAATTACCCTAAAAAAAAATGGGAAAATTAGTCTAAGGTCCCTCTCCCACTTTTCATAATGGAAGAGATCCACAAAATTATTTTTTGATGTCTAAGATCCCTAAACATACAACAGAGAAATTTCAGTCCTTTATATTATCTTCATCATCTGACCCACTGCCATCCCCAACAACCCGACTCTCAGTCCTTCTCATCTTCCAATACTTCCCAAAGCTTTACCCAGTGGAGATTCCCGGCCTCGTTCTCCTTCTCTCCTTTCCTCTCATCGCAATCCCATACATCTTCGTCTCCGAAGCCCTCGTGATCCAGGCGCTCATCTTCATCTCCTACGCCGGACTGAAGATCCGCGACATCGAGCTACTTTGTCGACTCCGGACATGTGTTTTGGTGCAGCGTTGATCCAGGTTCGCTTCCGACGGCGCTGGGTTATACTCTATGATATTTTTGATCGGTACTGGTTGCGTCAATAGTATTTCACTTAAGTTCACTTCTAAAGATTCTTCTAGGTGAAGTCGTCTTTGTTGAAGATTACAGTTTATATCTAACACAGTAATTATTTTGTTTGATGAACTTCCAATAAAGATGGATACCCGTATGGAGTCAAGTACTTGGTGTGGTTCTACTTTGTTCCAAGTTACACGTACAGTTCTGTGTATTTGTTCTCTTTTAGCATTTCCAATTATGTTTTGACAAAAAGCAATACATTGACTATTGAAATGTTGATGTGCTGTTGTACTGGA